TTTTTTCCATTAACATGCCTGACAAACAGACGAACAAAGGCTCCCTTTGAACAGACTCTTCTTTCTTCTCGTTCCAACAGAAACTTCCTGGGAACCAAAGAGACGTCTTTACTCCTGATGGCCATGTTCCTCCTCGCCGTGTTTTACCACGGGCAGCAGGTAAGACCACGCCAGCTTTAACTGTGTCCTAATCAGTGAAGGATTGGCAATTTACACATTCAGAACACTGATTCATCACCTATGAGTGGATTTGTTATGGGCTGGTGATTGAGTTAGAGGACTTCTTGGCTAAATATTGTTATTATCTCCACCCATGCAGCTGATTTTTGTGTCTTATCAGGTGGATTAGCTTGTTTTTCTACGCATCAAAATGTATGATTAAAGGTGACTGAAGGGCATGGATAAAAACAAAAACTGTGACGGTTCCTTTAAAGGATAGTAACAGAAATAACCAGAGTACAGTGGGCGTGAGGAGCCCAGCGTCTTCCCTGTTGCTATGCAACGGTCTAATTAGAGTTGTCAGCTAACGTGAAGTAAAAATAACAGAAGAAGATGACGAACAGTTGGAGTTCAGATGTGTCCAAACAGGATGACATAAACGGTTAACGACCTGCCACATTTAACTGGCCTCTGAGAAACTCAAAGCAAAAAACTGTCATTGCATCCTTTAAAAATGTGAATCACTCTTCCAGCTGTGGATGCTGTGGAATCTCAAATACGTTGGTTCCATACAGATGAGGTGACAGCCGTAGCTGTAAGCATTAGACATCTTTGCGTGATCCAGAGAAGGCAGTGATATTCTTAACGTGTTTGTGCTCGTGGCTGCAGGGGTAACATAAGACGGATGTAGCCATGGTGATGTCAGCTGTAGGTTTGTGAAGTCCTGTTGTTAATCCTTGAGCTGAGCGTTTTTGCCATCACCATCTTGGTGCTTTTGAAACCAGACCAATGAGGTGTGGATCTGACTGTGAAATCACACTCTGACTGAATAACCAATGAGCACGTCCTGTATAATCCTGCGTATGAGGAGTTTTATCTGTAACTGAGCCCTTAAACTCCTCAGTAAAGTGTTTACAGAGATCAGGGTGGAGGGAGGTCTTCTGTAGGACCTGAAGTCTTGTGTGAGCCGTATGCATCACCAGCTGAAGGCCACTGAAAACAATGCAGGTTTAATGCTTGAGAAATTAACCTTCAGCCCAAAGAGGTGAGAAAGGTCGGGGTGTTTAAGCCTTTAAAGCCGGTGGGAGCGGGCATGCTCTGTTTTGCATAACTATTTTTAAATCCCGGTAACTCTGCAACCACGTAAGCTAGCGCAATAACTTTTTTTGCATATGAAACCGGAGGAGTTGTACTTACATCTTATGCCATCAGCTTGTCCTCGGTCACAGTTTCCTTCCACATATAGCTTTGCAAAAACTGCATAAAAAGCACTTGCAGCAACAAAAACATAATATTCCAGAAACAGGCTTTGCCGATCCGATCAGCTGTTCATAACACTTCCTACATTGGAATAGACGTCAGCGCGAACTTTTGCATGTCCGCCATGACCTGCCCGGAACCGGAAGTGACGTCATTTTTGCGGAAATGTCGTTTTTTTTACCATATGGCCTCAATGAGCCTATACTGGTGTTTTTAAAAGTTATGTTTGACTTTATGACTTTCTGTGTGGTTTCTGGGATGCTTAGGACTCATATTGCACTGCTGGAAATAGTTTATTTTGATGCATATGCTGCTTTTTTGCAAATTTGCATTATAATATTTATTTTCGTTTTTCCTGCAGTGTATAAAAATTGGTGTATTTCAAAAATAAAACTATGAAGACACTCAAAATAAATTTCCTGTGGTGGGAAACTATTTTGTGCAACTTTTTTGTATTTACAGTTTTGAGGGATAAGCCTCTTAAATTTCTCTAACTAGAAATATATGTTAAAAAAACAAAAACGATTTTCAATTTTTTTGTAGTTTATTGCACTTTTTTGCAATTTATGTAATCACTATGCACTTAATGCAGACATATTATTAAAATTTAGGCTATAATGGTTGTATTTATGTATAGCAACTTGAAATGCTCCCAAAAATGGCTCCACAACATGTAAAAATATAATATAAGCTCTGGCGGACTTGGTTCTATGGTAGGTCTTAAAGGGTTAAGCCTGAAATGAGTTCTTTTGAATCCTCCAGTTCTGTATACGAGGTTTGGGCTAAATCTGCACTTTACAGGAACCTGGGTGGTAGCAAGACAGTTATAAGCAATTTGTATTTACCTCTTCTGGGTTTCTTGAATGCAGTCCAAGTGTAAGAAAGAAAAATCACTTTGGTTAAACCTCTTGCTGCCTATAAAAGCTGTGACACAGGGCTGTGGGTAGAGAACATTTTAATAACCGAGCCTTTAAACGCATCTGTAATAACACAGGAAACGTCCTGCCAGGTTTTATGATTGCATAATAAGCAACCGGAGTTTTTCTTCAGCAAAGCAAAACTGGCACAGACCACTTTGTTTACACGTCTGATACATTATACAAGCCATTTCTATAAAGATGCAGTGAGACTCAGTGGCCCGAAGGAAACCGGTACCACTGTGCCGCTTTCATGCTCTCGCTATGGCAACCTTTGATCATGTAGTTTAGCAGCTTGGCATTGGTCAGAGACGGCCGTAATTGAAGGTCTTTTGTAGCCTCATGAAAGTAGAAAGCAGCTGTATTTGAAGTCATGCAGTGGCATATTGATTTTCTCTGGGTCAAACCACTTGTTTGGCAAAGCAGAGACAATGACAGCTCACAGCATGAAACACTCGCAGCGCTGAAAAGCTGTTTGTGCCAGATGCACATGGCCAAGGGAAAAGAGAGCACACTAAAAAGACTATTTACTCTTAGCAGGAAAGTCCAGCGTGCAAAACAGGATCCAGCTGTTTTTTTAATGCTCCGTGTTTTCTGCTAAATACTCCAAATTATCTTTGGGCAAAGTGGATAATCGCTGACAGAGGAGCACTTTTTGTTTTCATTTTTCATGCTTAAGCTCACAGCAGGGGTTAAGTAACAGTTTTTGTGGTATATTTTACTGTTTCAAGTTTTAAGTTCAAGAGGCAATCTCAGTGCTTTCCTGTCTGTTTATGTTACAGTTACGTTCCAGCCAAAGACATTAAAGCAGGATTTTGTCTCAGCATCGAGCAAGACGTGGCTCCAACTCCACTAAGCATAAAAGGATCCTTAAATCCTGTACATGTTCGGTCCTTTAGTGTCCAGCCTGGAAGCTTTTCTCTGACAGTAAACACAGGCTCTCTATAACAGCTTTATATACACAATGTGATGTTTGTGAACCCTCAAGCTGGAATCTAGACTTCTGGCTTTGGTGATTCAGGAAAAGCAATCAGTACTTTTCCAGTGTGGTAACTACAGTATTGCAGAAAAGTCACTTTATATTTTGCTAGGAGCATGAGACAGCAGCTAGTTATTAGAATATACGCAAACATGCATGGGTATATAATAGTGCTGTCAGCGTTAATCTTGTTAAAATGACGTTAACACCAGAACCAAAACAGAGTTTGTGCAATTCTAACAAGCTTAAAAGTCAATATTTGTTATGGCCACCTTTATTCTTCTACACAGTCTGAACTCTCCGAGGCAGCTTTCACGTCTTTCTTTAAATAGTCTTCAGGAATGTCTGTGAAGGTTCTCAGTCATCCAGGTCATCGTAGTCAAAGGAGCTTGCAAAGAAAAGCGTCTGGACTTCTTTAAGTTACTTGAAGACGT